CCCCAGCTTCGTCCTGTTGCTGGCGGACGACTTGGGCTTCGGGGACCTGGGGAGCTACGGGCACCCTTCTTCTACCACGCCCAACCTGGACCGAATGGCTTCCCGAGGGCTGCGGTTCACCAACTTCTACAGCAGCTCCCCAGTGTGCAGCCCGTCCCGGTACGTCCCTCGCTGCTCCCGCCCCGCTGGTTGGCGACTGCTGAAGGGCCCCGGGGCGGGGTTGGAGGAAGCATCGAGGCAGGGCTTAGCATACAGCTAGGGAGCTGCAGTGCTGGGGGGAACGGGTGGTTGATAAATCTGATGTGTCCCAGGAGGCCCGAAGGTCTGGCTGCTCTACGAGGGGACTGATTGTGTGTCCCAGCAGACAGGGGAGATGGCAGTGGCAGCTGTGAGACTGGAGAGCCAAGCTGCTAGGTCCTGAGGAATGGGGCACCCTCTGTGGAGGTTGAGCACCACGACCTGTGCTGTGTCCAGTGTGATGCCTGTCTCCTCCCTCTCTTTCAACTCTCACCTGTAGGGCAGCCCTGCTGACTGGCCGGTTCCAGATGCGCTCTGGGGTTTACCCCGGTGTGTTCAACCCAGACTCACAGGGAGGCCTGCCGCTGTCTGAGGTCACTGTTGCAGAGGTGCTGAAGGCTGAAGGCTATGCCACAGCTATGGTTGGCAAGTGGCATCTTGGCCTGGGGATTAATGGCTCCTTCTTGCCCATCCACCAGGGCTTTGACCACTTCTTGGGGGTGCCCTACTCCCATGACCAGGTAAGAGACCTGTCAAGCCCTGAAGGGTGTCCCAGGGCTGGCTGGGGGGAGTGCCTGAAAGATGAAGCTTGCTTGAGAGCACATAGGCTGGGTTAGTGCTTGCCTGGGCAGATGGGTGTGGGTGGCTGCAGGCAGGGGAGATGGATGCTGGTGGGGAAAGCCCATCTCTGAGGTGCTCGTATGATAGGGCAGTTTTGCAGAATGTGGGTGGCAGTTGTGCATGGGGACATATGCCCTTTGTCAAGGGAGGGAGGGTCAGCTTCTGGGCTACAAAGAAACACCTGAATTACTGCCAGGAGAAAATGATGCTGGGGCAGCATGGTCCTTGGACAGTTCTAGGGTGGGCACAGACCCCTGGGCTTCTGGGAGTGGCTGCCCAAAGGGTGCCTGTAGGACCTGGTGGTGGGCCACTGTGAGACCCTGCTCCCCTCCTCTCATTGTCCTGCAACACAGGTAAAAGATAAAGTGTTATTTGTTCTCTCCAGGGCCCCTGCCAGAATCTCACCTGCTTCCCACCTGACATCAGGTGTTTTGGGACTTGTGACCAAGGCTTAGTGCCAGTCCCGCTGCTCTGGAACCAGAGCATCGTGCAGCAGCCAGTCTCTTTCCCTGATCTAGTGCCACTCTACAACAAATTCTCCCGGGATTTCATCGCTGACTGTGCCCGACGAGGCATCCCCTTCCTGCTCTACTATGCCTCCCACGTAAGAGAGGGGGAGGGCTGCTCTGGGCCCAAGAGTGGGGAAGGGAGCCTTTGTCCTGTGGGGAGAGCAGGGAAGCACCTCAGCTCCTGCAGCCCCAGGACTGTGCTGAGCAGTCAATACCTGCTCCTGGATGACCTGGGGTTGCTGTTCCCATGCCCAGGTCTTGTGGCAGCACCATTCTGATAATGTTCTTGGGCTGCTTCTTTCTAGAGCTTTGCCCGCTTCTCTGGGCCAGGAGTCCACCCGGGAAAACTTCCTACTCTGGGGCCCCACATCCTTTCCTGGGGCTCAGCTCCTTTATGCCATTTCTGAGAGATGTTTCTGAAGCCTGGGGACAAGCCTCCTCTCATCTCATAGCTATTGTCACATATCTCCATGTCCTAGCTGGGGTGCTCGCTGTCCCTGGGTGAATTGGGAACCAGATGCAGCTCTGGGGGAGTTTGCGTAGCAGTCTTCTCTGCCCTTTCTCCAGCATACACACTACCCCCAATTTGCAAGCCAGGAGTATGCAGGGCAGTCACGGCGTGGGCCGTTTGGTGATGCACTCTTGGAGTTTGATGGCTCGGTGGGACAGCTGCTGCAGGCACTGCAGGAAAATGGTCTTGCAAACACAACCTTGGTGTTTTTCACCTCTGACAATGGGTGAGTGGGCTCAGCAGGGGGGACTTCATCACTGATAAGATTCTGCTGCCATGGTATGGGGGAACTGGAAAGAGGCATAGGTTGGCTGGGGCAAAAGGGATGAGGTGTGGCATTGCCAGGTGAGACCCCAGTGACCTGAAGTGAGGCAAGAGGTTGACGCTGCTCTGGAGAGGACCCAGTGCATGATCACCTCCTTGTTCCTGTGACCCAGCTGTGCCCCTCCTCATGGGCAGAAACCTTACAGGGTTCAGGCCAAGAGCATGCAGCAGCCCAAATATACCCTGATTCCCTTTGTGTGTGGGTGGCATTGGTTTCTGGTGCCCTGCTTAGATGTCTTGCACACCTTGGCTTCTTCACCTGCCCCATGCCTCACAAGGCCGAGAAGGGTGGCAGTGTCACTTGCTGGCACCATGTCTGTCTTGTCATGGCCCCGTTGGCAGCATCAGGGAAGGGGTAACATGAACCTGTGAAACTGATGGTAGGTGGTTCTTCTCTCTCACAGCCCCTCCACCATGCGGATGGCACGTGGAGGCAGCTCTGGCCTTCTGAAGTGTGGGAAGGGCACAACATATGAAGGTGGCATGCGGGAACCAGCAGTGGCTTATTGGCCAGGCCATATCACTCCAGGTGAGACTTGGCACTGCTTGTGCCTTTTGCGTGCTGATGCCAGCCAAGGCAGGAGTGTCATGGCAGCTTGGCTGCCCCAGGACAAGCAGAGGGCAGGAGAGAAGTGAGGATGGCAGGGATGGGAGTGGGATCAGGTGCTTGAACCTTTCCTTGTGCCTTGGTCTGGTGGGTGACAGGAGTGACACATGAGCTGGCAAGCACCCTGGACATCCTGCCAACCCTTACTACCCTGGCTGGAGCAGCTCTTCCGAAAGTTGCCCTGGATGGCTATGACCTGAGTCCGGTGCTGTTTGGGTCAGGGAAGGTGAGTCCTGTGGGCTGGTTCAGCTGGCATTGTGCATGAAGACTGGGTGTGGGGCTGGAGCTGTGTGCCTGATGAGTAGAACCAGCTGGGGGTCAGGGGAGATCCATGAGCTGGGACCTTTTGTCTGGCCTGGGTCATGCCATGGAGTTCCTGGGCTTCCCCAAGCTGCTCAGCTCTAACACCTGCAACATATTGCCAAGCCAAACCCCCATGGCTGTAGTGGATGGACAGAGCCCCAGTAGCTTTGAGTAGGGAGCAAACAGGATGCTGCTGCTCGTCAGCTTCCCCCCTCTCTGGCCATGTTCTGGCTGTAGTACTGGGGCTTCTGTGTGACTCCCTGGAGTTTCTGCCTGGTCCTGTTTCAGGCTCTTCAGCCTTGTGGCTGCACTGGTGAGCTTAGCTCTGCTGCTTCCCACAGAGTCCCCGTCAGACGATGTTCTTCTATCCGCCGTCCCCCGATCCACTGCGCGGCCCCTTCGCTGTCAGACTTGGGAAGTACAAGGCCCATTACTTCACACAAGGTTAGTGCTGCCTCCTCTCCTCTGCACGGGCAGCTTTGTGAAGTCCCGTATGGTTTTGCTGTCCAAAGCTCAAAGAGAAAAAACTGAGCTACACCTAGGAGTTTCTTTTGCAGGTTCCTTTCACAGTGATACGACTCCAGACCAGGCCTGCCACGGGCTGACCCCGCTGACCCCTCACTTGCCCCCGCTGCTCTTTGACCTGGAGTCAGACCCAGCCGAGAACTATGATCTGCTGCAGAGTGGTGCAGGGCCGGAGATTCTGCAAGTCCTGAAGGAGATCAAACTGCAGAAAGTGCTTTTTGAACAGCGCATGGAGTTTGGGGAAAGCCAGATCAGGAAGGGCAGGGATCCCGCCCTGCAGCCCTGCTGCATACCAAACTGCACTCCTAAGCCTTCCTGCTGCCACTGCTCCTAGCCTCTTGCTGCTCCATCCCCTTCAGTTGCTCCACACTGGAACCCTATCCCAAACCCACCAGACTCCCCCTGCCCCCAACTAACCAAGCTCAGCTTTAGAGCTACCCTGCAGCTTTGGCTCAGTGACACCTCTGACTAATGGAGTGCTGGGGTAGCAAACTGTGGGCTGGGGAGATTACCAGCCCTGCTAGGAGTGTAGGTCAGTGGACCCTGTGCTCTGTGTTGGATGTTCAAGCTGAGGCCTTTTGACAGAAACCCTGACTTGTTCATGGAGGGACCATGATACAGCATCATCTTCAGAGCCAGAACAGCTCCGTTCAAACCATGATCAAGATGAAGCAAAGGGCATGCCCCAGTGTCCAGAGATCCCAACTCAGCTGGAGGCATGCTGTGCACCTCTGGGTGGGAACAGACCTTACCAGGGGCCAAGAGCACAGCAAGAGGAGGATGGGATGGATGGTCCTGGCAGCTTCAGAGGCAGGACCTTGTGCAGCTAGCGCAGAGGGAACATGCCTAGGTGGGAAGCAGCTGAGGGTACGCATGCTCAAGCACCTCAAAGTCCTTCATGACTCAGGAGGTGGAGATGTGGCCTGTGGTTGGCAGGCCTGGTCTTCTTGTAAAGTCTGTGAATACTGGGGCTCATCAATCAGGTGGGCTGCAACTGTATGCCATCCACATGACTGAAAGTGTCTCTCTCTTGCTTGTGAGCTAGTCCAGCTTCAAGTTCACTAGCGAATCGCACATGCACACAGCGCTCCCACCAGTAGCTGGCCCTAGACACTTGGTGTTTCCAACCGCTGGGTCCCTATGACCTGTGTTCCCTTCTGCCATTGCTAGCAGTCAGGCCTCTGGACCCACGCCCCCACCAGGTACAGAGTGGGGCCCCACAGAAAAGGATTTGGAATCGCTCTCAAAAAGAAGGTAGGACCGGCTGTGGTGATTAGGTGCAGGGCTCAGTCAAACAAGCAAACCAACCAGCAGTTTGCTTATGTGTGACTAGCTCCTTGATCCCCCTTCTCTCCATTTTCCATGCCTGTACATCCCCCTCATCTTCCTTGACTCCTCCCTTTCTCTGCCCTTGTCTCCTCCCAGACAAGGGACCTACCCCAGGTGATTCCCCCTCCCCCCCCCCCTGCTCCCCGGTTTGCCACATCTGTAACCAGATTTGTCAGGTGCTGTTAGGTAGGTCATCTTGGACTTCCATGGCATTACTGATGCGTTTTCCTGGGTACTGCTGTTCCTGCCAGATTCCTCTCCCAAAAATGACCCCAACTCTTCCTTCAATTATCTGTAAAGTGTGGCCACCTCTCACATCATTCCCCCTTAACTACTCGTGAAATCTGGCTCTTCCTCATGGCACTGTAACTCCTGTCAGCTTCTAACTCTAGTTGCTATGGTCAGCAATTTCTCTTGTCATACTCGGGAGTTTCCCATGGTCTGTTCAGTTAGCTAAGGCTTATGCCAGGCTCTAATCATCAGCTTGTGTGCCTTAATGCATACCCCCAAAGCTGTCTGCATGTCACATCATTTTTTCATATCTTCTTTCTAGCCTCAGTGTGCCAGTCTTCTCCACCCCATGGTAGTTCTGAGCAACCTCCTCTCTGACCAGGCACGGTTTCAGCCCTCTTGAGTGACTCTTTCCCTTTGTGCCCTACTGTCTACCTGCAGCCTCATTTTGCAGGTGCCAGGCATGGAAGTCCTTGCCTTGCACAGGAGACTGAATTGGACTGAAGCATGGTTAGCTGTGAAAATTGGCAACTTTATTTCAAGAACTAAGTCAACTTCAGCATTTGTGTGCACTCAGAGGAGCATGGGCAGGACAGAGCAGGCCTTTGACTCTGAGGCTGCCTTTGGATCAGCAGGCATTGCCCCAGAAGGAAATGGTTGTGGTATACTGCAGCCTGCACTGGATCCTGTTCATCCTGCTGCTCAAGCCTTTTTTCCCCTTAGGACCTGCAGGAGCTCCTGCACCCGAGTAAAGAATTCCACGAGCTTCTGGCGTGGAAATGGGCAGGGTGTAAACCTGCCCGATTGTGTTGGTATTGGCCTCTGAAAGGGGGTTGAGGTGGTGAGAAAATGACTCCATGCCCGTGATGCTGGAGTAGCCCTTACTTCTGGGCGCAATCCCATCTGTACCAGGATCCAGTCATAAAAGTGCTGAGTGGAGGTGTAGACTCCCGGCTGGTTTGCTCTCGCACAGCCTTTCCCCCAGCTGGTCACTCCAACAAGCCAGAAGTAGTCAGCATTGTTGTCTTTGCACACGAGAGGACCACCACTGTCACCCTGCAGCGGAGGAGAGAGGATTAAAGTGGTGCTGGGTGGCCACTGTCAGCACTGTGGCTGGCTCCTTCTCTCTCACAGCACCTGCTGGAGCTGTATTCACTGCTCAGAAAGGCTCTGCTCAGGTGCTGGAGCTTACAGAACCTTGTCTGGGAGGGGGTCGTGGGCCTGTAAGGTAGGGCTCTCTCATCTCTGCACAGTGATCCTGGATGTGTGGAAGACAGATGTTCCAGGATTGGGATCTGGACCTATGGGCTGCCAAGAGCACCGGATGGGCTTTCTGGGCAGAGTCCCAGGCCTCTGGGACAAGGGAGGCACTGGGCAAGGAGCTGCAGATGGGGAAGGGGAGGTGAGCCCCAACAGCGGTGGGGACCCAGCGGTGGGAGGGTCACTTGCCAGGCAAAGTGCGTGCCGGGGTGTGTTTGGGAGGTTGTGACAGGGCTGCCTGTGCTGCTGGGGGTTGACTTGTAGCATGCTCCTACCTGGCAGGTGTCAATGCCACCCTGCGGATAGCCAGCACACAAGTTGTGAGTGTGGATGGCCCCTCTATACCACCGGCTGCTGTTACAGAGGTTGACATCAATGAGACGGACCTTGGCCTCCTGCAGGACATCAGTTGATCGTCCAGCTGTGAGCACAGAAAGGAGTTAACACCCAGCAGCTCGTTGCCAGTTCTCCTCCCCTGTCTGGGTGAACCCCTTCCCTAGGGCTTGGCTTTGCATCTTGAGAGTCATTGTACCGGTGTTTCCCTTCTGTCTTGCTTTGGGTAATGGGTCAGGCCCATCTCTCTGTGGGCATACGTCCCCACGGCCTGACTCTGACTTTTGCCTCTGCTGTCAGGAAGCCCAACCCACCTCCCCAGTGTGCCAAGCTTGCACTCAGGACACGAGTACTTTTTGGGAACTCACATCTTGCAGTCGTGGAACCCCAACCACTGATGTAGCAGGTTGTCAGCTCTGACACTCTCAGCGAGGCGTCAGGCACACAGGCAAGCTGTATATAGTAGCTGCACTGGACAGGCTGGTCCAATTCTAGCAACGCAATGTCGTTCCTCTCCGAGATATTGCTATAGCGTTCGTGAACCAGTAGCCGCTTAATATTGCGCACTTGGGCCTCAGGGCCCAGCTGAGTCAACTGGGTGGCCCCAATCACCACGCGCCACATTGTGATGTGCCTGGAAGGCAGATGGAGAGAGGGGTCAGAGGGAGCGGAGCCATGTGCTGCAGCAGCCCAGCACTTCCCTGCCTTCTGCTTCACAAGGGAGAGAGGAAAGCAGTGCTACGGAGGGTGTGATGGCCCCAGCATGCCTTAGGCACAAGGAATGTCGAGCTGGAGGCTGCTAGGAAGCAGTGGCACAAGCCCAGCCTTCTCCTGAGCAGTCTCTCAGCTGGGCTCTGGTGTGCCCAGGCGCTGGACGTACTGCAAGGAAATGGGATGGGAGTAGCACGTGGTGCTGCGGACAGGGCACCTGCTAGTATTGTGGGGATATCCCCATTCCCTGGTCCTCCTTACCTGGCTTCGATGAAGCAGTGGGCTGCTGTGAGGACCCACTGTGGGCTGATGAGGGACCCTCCGCATATATGCCCCGTGCCTATTTTCCAGGGATCCTGGATGCTGACGATCCAGGGCCAGGCCCCTGGCTGGGCATCTGTGCCACCCACGACACGCGACATGCCGTAGTGAGAAGCCATGGGCCGGAGCCCGCAGGTCCCTCTGTAACCAGAAACTCGTTACTGTCCTGCTCGATGGCTTGCTGCTGTTCAGGCTGAAGGTCAGCCATCTTCCCTCCGCACAAGGTGTTGCATGGACAGCAGGGCCAGGGAACCCCGTGGGGCATACGTCCGTCCACCCCTGTTTCTGCTTTAGCCCCGTAGACAAGTTGTCCCAGCAGCCTGGGTGCTGGCAAGGAACTGAGGTTCCCACATGGGGTTCGGGAAGCTGTGGTGTGGCCACAGGGGACAAGCGGGCACCCTCCAGTGAACCCCGTAAGGGTTGCCCAAGCTCCCTCCCAGAGCCTTGGCCCACTTACCCACAGTTGTCCCATGTGCTGTGCGCAGGCCAGCACACGGCCAGCAGGACAAGGAGGGGGAGCAAATTCATCGCTGCCAGCGGCAGTTGGCAGCTGCAAGAACCAAGGGCTTGTCGCCACCAGTGCGGCAGCCAACGTAGTGCCCGCAGTAGTCACGTTGTCCACGGTGCCCTTGTTCCCGGGGCTGATGTCACAGAGTCATTGGTTCCGGGTGCTGGGCATGGTGGCCTCTCCGGGGGGGTGGGGCAACACAGGGGGTTCCAAGCAGGAGGGGAGGCAGAAGCTGGGATCAGACACCCCCAATAGACCCCTGCTGAATGCTCTGCTTGAGGGATGAGGGTGTGCAGGCCCCATGGCAGGCAGCAGCACCTGGCTACAAGCACTGCCTGCTAACAGCTAGCAGGAAAAAAACAAGTGTGGCATCACAGCCTCTTTGGGAAGTTCACTGCGACCCTGCTCTCTGCAGCCGTTTGCCACCAGGTCCTTCCCAAAAACCATACACCAGAGAACATAACTACTACAGGCAGTATGCACGTTTGGGTGTTGAAGAGCCAATCTGTTTACAGCTGCAGCAGGCAAGCAGTGATGTGCAAGTGGGACAAGTCCAGCATACCTACGTGGTGCACACTGTATATATGCGCCCACCTTGAGTGCACACATGCTGGCACGTCAGTTTGTGTGGTGCACTCTGCGTATGCAGGCACCCTGTGTGCACTATGTGTGGGTACACTCAGTGTCTGGGTGCATTCTACATCTATGTACACACACTGTGTATGCACACTGTACACATGCAGTGTGGTTCAGGTGAGCCTGCGAGCCTGCATATGCGTTCACAGGGCTGTGTGTTGGTGCGCAGTGTGTTGCGGTGTGTGCATGTTGGTGTGCAGTGTGTGTGTGCGCGCGTGCGTCTGTGTGTGTGTTGGGGGGTGTGTGTGTTGGGGTGCACTCAGTGTGTCCGTGTCTCCGTGTGCAGCCCTGCCTGCCCCCGCCCCCCCGTGCCGTTCCCCGACGCCA